GTAGTTCAAAATAGTCATGGGGATGTGAAGTACAGCATAGAGAATATAGTCAATAATATTGTAATACCCATGTGTAGTGCCAGGTGGGTACCAGACTAATAAGGGAGAATCACTTTGTAAATTATATAAATGTCTAACCACTATGCTGTACACCTGAAACTAAAACAATATTGAATGTCAACTGTAATTGAAAAATAATTTTAAAAAACTAGCTGTTTGCATAAGGTCAGTCCACTTAATTTCATATTTAAACATAATTCTTAATATGTACTTGTCTCTCAAATACCACACACACTGATGGTACATCTTAAAAAATGGTCATGACTCAGAGAAATCCACTACAGAGTGAGAATAAAACAATGAATTTAAAAATGCTAGGGCATATTAGCCTGCTGCCTGTATCATTCCAGTGATTAACTCTTGTTTCTTAAACATTCCATTCCCTAAAAGTAAAGTTCTCAAAACCATCTACCAGCATCTTCTCTGAACCACCATGCAGCATATAGATGGAAATCCTAGGCTACATAACAGCATATGATTAGTAATATCTTAAGTGTGAAGTAAATCCGAAGTAGACTTAATTCACCAAAAATGTATACTTTTATTTTTACAAGTTAGGTTATTTTCTTCTGACCTAAATGCTTAATATTTTCTTCAAACCAGAAACTCAAATCCTGACAGCTCTAATATTAAGAGTTGTGCTACAATGGATGCCTGGGTGGCAGTTCATTTTAGCAATTTCTCACCACATTTCAAAGGTTTTTTCCATTGAAGTTATCTTCTTGCCCAAAATGATCTAGTAATTATCAAAAGAGATGAAGGGCCAAGGCTTGAGCAGTCAAATGGTATTAAGTTTCTTTGCATGTGTGTACGTGTGTGTACACAGACAAGGGGCTCACTTTTACAAACATCTCCCAAAAAGCAATGCAAGCTCTAACCCACAGCTGTTGGAAAAAGTGATGAAAAAGGTCATTGGAAATATAATAGAAATAACATTTTTCTGTACTAAAGTAATGCTCACGTTGAATTGGAATACTTGGTTCCCAGGGGCTCTACACCAGCGAAGTGCGTTTTGGAACAATTGTCTAGATAAAACAAGCCAAAGAAACAATCTAAAATACCCATAGATTTGAGGCAAAACTGCAGAGTAGGGTTGGAGGGAGCTGTCAAGTAGGCATGAAAAGGTTATTTAAATGATCCTAAAAATTACATCAACTTATATTGGGTATGTCTGTATAAGCAATCTGTTTATTAGCACTGTTTTGATAATTTGATTACCAAAATAATATCAATTTTTCTTATGTACTTTTAAACAGGAAAGAATGTCTGCCTAAATCAACTACTTTATACCTGACAGTTCAACAAACCAAGGTCTGGGCAACTTAAATTCTTGGTCAAAACACCACTTGAGTCTTATTCACAAAGTAATATGAACATCAAACAGTTATTTTCTGGCTGAGGTTGTCAACTCATATTTTCAATGAAATTTACAGGGAAGAGTTTGCATTGCTGTAAGAAATATGAAGTTCTTATTGAAAAGGTATTTATAATTTAAGTCATCCAAAAGGTAGAGGACTTTTTAAAAGTTCTTAAATTGCAGGCAGATGTTTAAATGTTTTGGACTTAGCTGTAAAATTTGTAGTATATTGAAAGTGATGATTTTTAATTTGGAATCTTTCCTCTGTCTTTGTACTCCACTGGAATTAAAGCTAGAGGTGGAGGAGATTCTTCAACAATGGTCATCTTCTAATATAACTCGGACATTTTTTTTGTAATAGTATTACCTTTACTAATTATAAGGGAGACTTTACTGTAATTATGATGGAATCAAACGAATGTATGTGTCTAGACGTGATAAGAAAGCCAACAGTAATGGAAGTGAACCATGGTATAGATATTTAGATAAATAGTAAATTCTTGTCCCATTTATTTTTGACTTTGGAGTACATTTTTAACTTTTCTTGTAAATATGTCAGTCTGAAATTTGTGGTGTTCACAGCATTTTGAGCAAATGAACAAAAGTATCTATAGTGGCCATTCCATTTTCACATCTCCTATGTATAATAGGTATATGCTTAATAATAAATGTCTTGTTTCTATGATCAAGAAGATTTGGGTTTATTGACTGGCTCTGTGTCCTTGAACAAGTCATTATCCTTCTCTGGGCTTCTGGGTTTTTTTTTCCCCCCTATTTGTAAAATAAGAGTTTGGAATAAAGTAGATCCTCTCTAAGGTTTTCTTTTAGCTCTAATTTTTTATGTTTATAAATTTACTCTTATGTTGGCTTATACCTTCCCTAGGGTTAGAGGACATACTTAAGCATTTGATTTGAAGTATCTTTCTTGACAGTAGCTGATCCAGAGGGTAGAAATGTGAGCACAGATCTCTTTGCCTTCCTACTTTCTACTTAGAGCTAATAAAAATGTTGGTGTCACCGACATGGAAGTTAGGGTAATAGCTGTTTAGCTTTAATAGCTAACTGGCCTCAGTCCCGAACATCGCTAGGCCTAAACATAGCCAGTGAAGTTTTAAACCTAAGTCACAAAGACATTAACTCAGAAGATCTGAAAAGGAATGTACTGTCCATGAAATGTGACACTGGTTTCTTTCGGTAGGTAGTGATTGGCTATTATGATCGATACATATTCTCTCTTTAGAACATAATAGAGAAGACTATATTTTGGAGCATGGATATTTGTCTGGCTACTCTTGTTTTCTGACAAACTGATAAAGTAAGTGCCAGAACAAGGTTATCACAAGTGCATGCATTTGTGAAAAAGACATATCTTTTTCTTTTGATAAAACAGAGCCACACATTGGTTTTTGGTGCCATCAGTATGAGTTAGGAATGTAGTCTGGGTTTTATTTATTATTCAAAGCAAATCTGACAGTTAGGAAAGCTGAATATATAACTTTAGAAACCTCCCTTCTTGAAAGTAACCTGTTACAGATGTCAGGGCCATTTATGACAGTCCCACTTAGCGAAGCAGGAGAGAAGTTGGATTTGAGTAAATGATCACTTCAGATATGATCAAGGAGTTATTTTGGGACCATCTTTTGCCAAATGAGTCTTGATGTAGCTTATTCTTTTGATCACTTCTCTCCGAATCTGAGTTTTATTCTTCAACACTTCCTCCTGTTCTCCCGCCCTTCCCCCAAATTTGTCTCTTCTTTATGTGGAATATTTTGACCATCAGTCACCGAAGCTAGAGCTGGAAATGGGAATCAAATTGAATAACAGAAACTGCCCTGTCAAAAGCTATTTTGGAGGTATATTTGCATTTTTTAAAAATGCTCCATTTCACTTGCTTTTACCAGAAAGTACACATAAGAATTTAGATGGATTCCTATTGCCGTCGGCATTTTCAGGATAGAGCAACATCTAACTAACTCTTAGTTTTCTGAGCTTACGCACTGTTAAACTCCAGGACCCAGACCTAGGGCTGTTAGAGTAAATTGGGGATACCTCTGTGCTAGCATTGTTA